GACTACTGTTTGAAAAAAAAGCTTCCCACTTATTGTTTTTTGAATCAAGAACGTTTTCTTATTTCCTCTTCAGCTACCATAGTATATCAAAAATCATCATCACTTTTTGCAAAGATCATTAATTAAAATCACTATCACTTTTGTTCTCTTGTCTCTGGAATATCGAACCTATGCGCAACGTACATCGGTTAACAAGGATTTCACTGGGTTGTATGAAGCCAGGAAGATAAAGAATCAATAAGGAAATTGGCGGTGAAGCGTTTAGGTTCAAACGTGATAAAGGAAAAGAGCCAAGCATGCAAGCAATGGCGTAGGCCGAAAGGAAGCGATCGACAGATGTACCTAATAGATCTTGCTGCAAAGGATTGTGTCGAGATAGCGGAGCACTTATACGTAGGAGAGCTATATAAGAAAATGGAATCTAGTGAGGGAGTGCGAGAAATGCACCAAATAACGCGAAGGATAGCATAGTCTGCAAAAATATGGGAACTTCTACCACATCAAAGACAAGCTTGGAAAACGTTAAGAAGACCACAGGTAATAACTGAAAGATGTCGAACGTATTTCAAAAAAATGTCGCCCATTAAACCAACTCACCACTTGATCCTGTAAAAGTTCCAATGCCATTCATAATAGCAGAGTATGGCTTGTGATAATAAAGAAAAAGAACGGCAAGGCTACCGATCCAGACAACAATATTGAGCGAATTCCGGAAACAGTACGGACGATGCCTGCAGGCCTCTTCAGGTCATCAAAGCTAAGAGCTGCCCCAATACTGGTCAAAGAGCAGCGATTCCGATATGGAAGAATAGAGTAGATTTAGCAGACTGTAAATATCAGCCCAGGGCTAATGGAACACTTTGAAGATCTTCGAAAGAGTACTTGAAATACGTCTTCGAACGATTAAAGTTGTTATCCAATCGGATTTGCAAAGGTACCGGTACTGCTGACCTATTCATGCTGTGCTAGTGATGGAGAAGTATGGAGAAAAACGAGGAGAGCTACATGCAGCTTTTCCTGATATGGACAATGTACCCCATGATGTCATATGGTGGGCACTGCGAAAGCAAATGGCAACAGAAGTACATATCCAACGGATATTGATCTATCACGGAGCCACGAGTCATGTGCAGATTGCGGTAGGGTAACGGTTCCGCATAAAGACCGGCCTACAACGGGGCTCTCTCCTCTACTCTTCACTACAGTCATGGCAGCGACGGAGGGTCTAGAGCGACATCCTCTATGAGCTCACCTGCATGTAGATGATGTAGTGTTGATGGCAGAAAACAGAGAAGAACTTTAGCTGGAGGTACACAGATGAAAGGTCCATTTGAAGTCGTATGAATGCTCAACACAAGGAAGACAGAAATTAAAAGTGGGGGATTAAACTTTGGAGACCATATGTATTGATGATGAGCCAATCAAAAAACTGAGTATTTTTAGGTACCTAGGAATCCACATCTCTGTAAAAGAGGACTTCAAGATGCGCTATCGGCCAGGACAAACGCAGCCTGAATGAAATGGAGGACCTTCACAGGACGTACCACCCTGCTGTAAAGGCACAGTTCGAGCTAGGATGAAAGTTGCTTTCTTCACCAAGGAAACGCAGGAAAAACGATTGCGATGGTACTGGCATGTGAGTAGGTGAGATAAAACCCATATCACAAGAGTGGCAATGTCTTTGGAGGTGGAAAAAGACCACAGGGAAGGCTAAAGCTGAGCATGGACAAAATCAGAGCGGACTTGAGAGAACTTAGGACAGATGAGCATCATACCTTGATTCGAAAATACTAGAGACAGTTGACTCGCGCAGCGGACTCTGCTTAAGCGGGAAAATACGAAAAGAACAAAAATGCGAATTTGATGAATGGAAAAGGTTCCGGAAAAGCGGACGTTTGGAAAGTGGTGTGACCTTATCAAATGCAAAAAATTTGAAGTATGAAAGTATAAGTAAAGTAATAAAGATAAAACAAGCAAAAAGAGTTATACTGCCCTCTAAATGTCCTATTTACTAATATGATCACCCAGCATTAATTTTAGCTTTAAAGCCCAATGCTAATGTACTTAAGTGTCATCATGTTAAGTTCACGTGAATGAAAGCTCCTATGCGTTTATGAACTACACTAAGCATGCCAATCGCATTACTCGTAGTAACAAATTCTTATGTGTCATCATCATTCAGAGATTTTCATTCCGCTGATTGATATAAAACCTGCATAAAGTTACATTGGCTTCCAAAATTTTTCCTTCTATTATCCATTATCAGCAATGGTTGAATGGATCGTGTTCTACTTTACCGAAGTTAAACTAGGAGTTTGCCCATAATACATAACGCAAGCATCAGCCTGTACCATCACTTTCGCACAACTTGTATCCATTTATAAGAGAAAAGTTCAATCAGCTTGTTTCTTTAAGAACGAATGGGGAAAAACTCTTTTACAAGCGCAGGGATGAGGGAGGAGGGACGCTCAGATAAGCAATGATTATGCTCTGGGGTAGAATGTATCAATCTCCCTGTCAAGATCGGGCCCACTTTTACTATAGAAAATCAGCTCCCTATCTAAGATA